ATTAGCCTTCTTAGCATACGATTGGGGTTGTCCTGCCAATTTGTTTATAAACTTCTGGATTGGATGACCTTCAACCTCTGAGGGCTGTATAGACGTTGGCGAAGTGTATGGCATAGATTTAGTCCTCAATCGAAATCAACAACAGAAAGGGGGAAACAAGGAAAGCAAAGAAAGAAAAAAGAAAACAACAGGTATCAGCACTTGCAAGACCTCGTTATCACAATGATCCGTTCTGGATTGGCGCAATTATACAGCTTTAATATTAAAAATGGGCCCCTAAATTTAGGAGCTACGAAATTTACTGATATCGCTGATCAATGTGCAATGTCACGGATTCTATGGCTCAGCCCTGAAATGACCCGACGAAAAAAGGTTACACGTGATACAGCACGTGATTAGCAAATAGTTAACAATGATGAAGTGTACTCAAACGGATAATAAATATAGAATTATATACAAGATTCACAAGGAATAGCTCTCACTGTGGTATCTAACGTCCAATGTGCTAGCCCATTTGGCACTATCCTTGTTCAAAGAGTCCGTACCACAACTTACAACCCACGAACTGTTCTTATCCTTGGAGCTAAACATTGAGGCATACAGCTCGAGGTTTGGTCTACCGAGTTTGATCTTAGTGTTCTTTGTCTGAGTGGTGTCGAGATCCTCCATCTCAAACGAGTCACGGCCAGTCTGATCCAACAATTCTTCATCTTCATCACCAAAAGCATTAGAAACAGGGTCGTCGCTTGTGATGTTACCACCTGTTATGTAAACATCGACGGAAGTGACAAGAGGGAAATGATCCAGGATCCAAAGATCGGCTCTGTTTCTGAGGACCCATACGAGCACAACCACAGCATTTGCGTTGGAGTTCTTCAGCTGCTGGTACAGACCTAGAGCATAGGAAATTCCAGAGCCTCCTGCGATGAGGACAACAGTTTCAGCTGTTTCGAAGAACTTGTTGTTTATAGATGTGAATGGTCCAAAGCACGAAACAAGTTCGCCAGATTTGAAATCCTTAGTGGTTTTTCTCACCACCAACTTAATGCTAGCATCATCTGGTAATGACGCCACAGTAAATGGATGGCTTGGTAGAAGATAGTTCAAAGGATTCAGCCTTGGATACGAAATTCTTATATGCGAGCCAGCGACAAAATTGGAAACGCTGTTGTTGTTGAATGTAATTAGATCCAAAGTAGAGCCAGCATTGGTTTTCTTTTCAAGAATGACATCGGACGACTTGTAAAACTTTGTAGCAATCTGAAGAATAATGAGGGATATGTTCAAAAGGGTGTAGAGTGAAACACCTGGTCTAGCATGCCATTGCATCAGTGCAACACAGGCCCACGCCAATACGACATGACCGGTGAAGAACAGCTTGTAGAACCGTCTTCTTAAAGGCTTGAGAGAAACCACAGTTATAGCCAGGAAGCACAAAAGAGCAATGAAACCTAAGAAGTTCAAAGGTTTGAAGAATTTCAGCATTGTGCCCTTAGATATCCACACTGCGATGAACCCAATAGAATGTACAGTGGCTATAGTCACAATCAAACGGGAAAACCACTTGTGAAGGAAAATCAACTCCAGATAGTACACATCGGGTATAGGACTCGGTTTCAACGATAGGAAGATATCCAGTGGAACAAGAGCATAGCACAAGCGACCAAATCGCTTGATGTACACGTTGATGCTATCAGAATCGAAATGCCAAAACGCTAAAATCATCAAGAACCCAGTCCACAGAAACAGCGTAAGCACATTGTGATGTGAATCAAGCACCCTTCTCATGACCTTCGAGGTCCTTATTGTGTTCCAATTGAGAATGAAAAGCTTATTAGACACGAATAGGCAAGCCAAATAGATAGCACCAGCGAATAAGACGATGTAGCCATATTTGACATTGACAAAGTGATGCGAGCCATGGCGTTTGATGACGTCGAACATTCTCCCTCGGGCTTTCTATACGTGAAACCAACACAAAAAAAAACCGAAAAACACACAAATGGGTGAACAGAAAGGATAAAAGGAGAATATAATAGATCCAAGCTCTTGTAACAGCACCAATTCAACTCGTTCCCCGTTCTCTGAAGATAACTTTGTAAAAATTTTGTTCACCAAGACAAGCCAATTTTGAGCAAAAATTTCCAAATGTAAACAAGATTAATGACAAAGTTTTAAAACGGTAACATCGCATGGTTATTCCTACGTACCATAAAACAGGTTCGCGGAAAAATTGGCTGTCGCTATTTTCCTGACAATCACCTCGCAATTTTGGCGAACAGCGTACACTGCGCACGCCACCAGAGTTCGGCAGTCGGAACAGCTCCCGCCCACCGAGGTGTTCAGGTGGCAAGACACACACACAAGCGGTTAACATCACTGTGGGATAGCCACAGTGCTGTTCAAGGAGTAGCGACTACGAATACAGAAGACACATGGGAGTAATCATGAAGGTCAACTATGGCCTCGTCTTGGCCGCGCTTGCAAAGAGGGAGGAAAGAGACAAAGAGGGACACGGACATATCCGTAAATCACATGAAAGTCTTGTACAAAGTTTGACATTAACATTCGTTTCAGTGAAGTGACGCGCCATTCGTTACACAGGAACAGTCTCTAGAACCTAAATTGTGGTTTCGATTAAACTTCTGGGCCAACACTTATTCTGTATTATGCTTCGAATTGTTCTCGACCACCGACGAATCATAATGCATCATCTTCGCGTCACCACATAGCCACACACAGCTTTAAAAAGCGGAGTAATTGTTCAATAGAGGCGCCGTAATTGACTGGTGAAATCACCAGGGGAGCCTTAAAGCACGGTGATCATTATAATCACCAGATTTTACAAAACTCTTCTTTCAGTCTGTCAATGGAGGGAAACATCTGTTTGATTTACGCACTTGCATGAATCGCATGCAACACTGTGATGTATTTATTCGCCATATGAGTGTTGTGTATACATCTGAAAAAAGGTTCGATAGCATTCCACGGCCGATCACAACTTTTAAGCCAACTCACAACCTCGCTGTCATACACGCTGCATTGATTACCCAACCATGGTGGTCTAGTACAAGTGATTTAAAGGGGTAATGGGAAACAGTCTAGCCCATAAGAAATGATCTGTCACCTCTCACACTCTCACTTGTAGTTGATGAATGCTCCTGCATATATTCGTAATCGAGAGTATGATCGGTGACCGGATCCGTCCCTATCTATGTATTGTACTGACAATGAGAGTGACCACAAAGCCAAGGATTCGTCGTGTTCCTGTTCCTATACTACGAGAGTCTGTAGGGTGGAGTACTCCTTAGTTTCTTTTAAGCCAACTCTACCGAGGACATTGATATCTAACTCTTAAAGATTGATGACTCAGTAAATAAGGAAAAGAGAATGTACGCAAGGTGAATCAGTTTACATGTTGTCATGTCTCAACGGAAAAAAGCAGCCAGGACATAATGTTCCGAGCTGTGAAGTTGTGAACCCTCTTTTCTAATCTAGACTGCTTTTAACTTTGGGAAATGCAAAAGTGAAAAAAGAAAAGAAACACATACACATCGAAGAGAAAACGGCAAAAATTTTCATTCTAAAAGCTGGAATAATTGGACGGTTGCAAGAGGTAAAACTACTAAAAATAATAAAAAAAGAGGAAAACTTCTAAGACATGCAATTGCAGTTCATGGTGCATCCATCTTCTTGTAAAAAGCTAAAATGATTGAAAAATGATGTAACTTGTACTCTTTTGTCAATAGGGATGACTTCATAGGCTGTAGAACTACAAAAAAGGATAGAGCATTGAGAGAAAGTGTCATCAACTATGCGCTTGCACGCTGATTCAGAGACTTCTACATGCATGTCCGAGCATGAGCAGTTTGATATGAGGTTTCTAAGGTGGGTGGAGTTTCGAACTTGGAACGGTGTTGTCCGAACACGGCATGCTGCGGCGTTAAACCCGTCGTTTCGTCGATTCAGATAAAGAACTGTGGGCACCACTGCACTGTAAATCCTCGAAAGCAGACAATTATACCGCTGGGAAAAAAACCTTCGGGCAGAGAAGATGGGACGCGTTCACAAGATACAATTTAGTGCTCTACGCATTTTAAACATTAGAGGAGGGGTTATATAAAACACACAACATGAACCGATGTCATATGTGTAGCTTTAGGTAGCATCATTTCTGACTGCTAAGAAATGATTGTTTAGTTTTACATGCTTTTAGTAACTTGCGGACTCCTACAAAACCATTCCCTGCTTGTATGTTGACATCAAAGTAATTGATGCCTGATTATGGACGATGACATATGGTTTCTATAGTTGTTGGTGATACACGCTTCGAGCCACATAGTTTACTCCTTTTCAACCGATGCCGGGTAAATAACAAACTGACGTACACGAGGCAAGCAGACACCATATTGAAATCTGAAGTCCGCCTTAGTTGTTTTTAATCGTAAATATATGTACGTCGTGGACGGTAGGCGTTCTAAAACTTGTGGCCTAGGGCCTGTCACCAATCATGCTTAGAAGTTGTTGCAACCCTTTCCCTGAAATGAGTTTTGAGTTTGCCGAATACTTGAGCACTTTTGGGGCGAATATACGCTTCGGCAATAGACGTCAATGTATGGAAGCAAAATTGCTTTTGTGGAAAAACCATGGGAAGAACACAGCAAGAAGCATGGAAACATGCTTAAATCCTCCAAAGAGAGTCTTGAACTTCAGTTATGACGTCAGTTTGGAAAAAAACATTTAATGAGGAAGCAGGTGTGAACCGAGTCTCGGTGTCCCGAATAGCTGGGAACTCATCTCATCTTTCGGGATGCACTTCATTTATTCCAATCATGGCAACGTTTAGATCGGTTTTGGATGTGTGATTGGGTTTAGCAAGATTTACAAAGCCGTGAACCAGACTTGTCTTGTGAAATTTAATTACAACTGGTTCTGGACCCACACATCAGAGCAATCAGAGTCAGTAAGTTTCATATTACGGTCGTTCAAGTGCATCCCATTATCAGATTTTCTGCCATGTCAGGCGAGTAACCAGTGGAGAGCCCACATAAAGGATGACAACACATACTTTGTTATAATCACCATTATGAATCAGCCCACAAGCAAGTCCTTGGGCAACTATGTTTTAGTGCTGTTTCTAAAAAAACACATATGTTGTTTTCCTCATGTGTAGACCGCATCATACTTTACGTACACACTACTACACAGATTAAGAAGCTATGCAGGGTGGATCCCCTCCGTGTTTGCTTAGAGACATTATAGCAGATGAAATATTCCCAGGTTTTACCCCATTACGCATGGAATTCAGTGTATATAGTACGCAACGCCACCTCGACACACAGAACAACATGAACGGCCACAATTGTTCTAAAACCTTCCATAGATTAACATGCTGAGCATGAAGTGGGTTAACTATACCTCCGCTAAATCTGCTTCGAGCCACCGATATGAACCAGACAGGGTGGAAACGAAATTACAGACCACTCTTGTAATCTGCAAGCAAACATACCTATTATCATGGTCATGTCGATGTCGCCTATCATCTCTTTCTACCAACGCCATGCTTATTTGGTCCATGGTTTACACAATAACTTCAAGGCGATCCATAGTTTACATCACATCGTTAGTCCAGTTGCGATACTTGAAAAAAAGTACCAACTCCCGTTACTGAAGCACAGAGAGAGGCAGCGATAACGTCATCCTTAGACCATGAAGTAGACGTCATAGTGTGTTTAGTAAAAACCAAAGTGCTACTTGTCTTCTAAAGTGTGGTTTTTCCTTAACTTTGAGTTATGTGTCATGCATGTAGTCTCTATGTTGTCATAGTTGTTTATCTCAAGTGCTTTTTTCCCTTTGCACGTTTTCACGTTGGAACTTCCGTGTACCTGGGGCCTGGATGTAAATCTAGGAACAAAAATGCACAATGTCGTTCGATGCACACACACCTTTGAAAAACACCAAAGAAATTGATTACACTAATGAGGCTGTTACCTACTAAACCCGAGATGTTCATGGCCACGGTTTACGCTGGACGACACCAGACTTACAATAACCGATAGCACCCGAAAAGTCGAATCGAGCAAATTCACGTAGTTGATACTAGAAGCTAAGCCATATTTTCATATGTACGACGATAGCTAATCCCAATAGTCAATTGACGGGTGGAATTCCAACTGTTGAACCCAGTAGGCGAAGCCCTAGGGTACTCTTCGCGGATTTTGATAGCATAGCCACCGATCATGACCGTTATAGATAAAATCCACAGAGCTACAAAGGCATAATTATTATTCCAAAGTATACTCCTTCAGTGAATGATTCAACAACTGAATGATGTGAGTTTGCATGGCCAAAACAACAGTGTAACCGAGTAGGTGCTATGTACTGAGCCCTGAAGGTTCCTGCTTGCAACTTTCCTCGTACACTTTTCTTTTTCCATGTGTTTTGTTAAATGTCCATGTCTTTGATGTACGTCACCTCTAGACTTTCAGCAAAGCCAAAAAGTTAAGAAGTCAGGCAGGACAGAAAAACAATTATGCGCTGTGCACATACTTACGCAGAGACGCATGTCCCGCATATGTATGACAAATGTCATCTCACTTGAGTAGAAAGTTTGGGAAAATCAAAAACGAGGGGGGGGGGGGTTACGTCAAAAATAAAAGTTTGTATATAAAGAAGAGGTGGAATCTCGACTAACCAAACTTCAACCATAATGTCCAGACACAAACAAGCAGTTGCTCTTTAAAGCTGGTATCATTGTACGAATCCTTCAACTACACTTCGAGAGCTACGTTGACTGAGGAGAAACAATAAGAGGTGGAAGTTCTACTAATCAATTACAAGACACATCCAACCTTGCACCACAAAAGAAACAAATAACGTTTTGAGGTTATTGAATCAACATATAACCATTACAAACCTATAACACCAGAGTACTTTAGAAAAGATGGCCCAATACAATTCATCGAGCGAAAGATGGGAGGCTTATCAATTTTGTGACCCATTTGCCTCATCGTCGTTTGTTTGTTGTAACAAGAAGAACAACACAGTTTGTCGTCCTTTGTGTGATTTCCTTCCCAAGGTTGCCTCCAAAGAGGATATCTTGTTTATGAATGACATCCAAGAAGCAAGAACAATGGGATTTGAAGTGTGCTCACGCTGTGACCCAGCCTCTGACCGCAATTGTGTTGATTTAGAGCTTTTGAAGCGTACCATTGAACATATCAACAAATCAATTGGGTTTTCACAGGAGGGCATGACATCTTTTAAGAAGCGTGCTTTGAGTACGCCCGCAGTGAAGACGTCAGACGGTCATTTCAGTGAACACCATCTCACAAGGAACGAAAGCGAGCACATCAAACTTGTGGAGCTTGCATGTCGCCACATCGCCCATGCAGCAGCAG